CAGTTCTGTGCTTCCATCCCTGTGCTGGGTGTTGAATTCCCGGCTCCCTTAAGCAGAGGGGCACAGGGAGGCATCTAGGCTCTGCCAGAGCCCATCCCTGTCCCTGCTGGTTGGACTCAGGGATCCTGGTGCAGGCTCTGGGGTGGGCTCTGGGCCCTGTGTGCAGCAGGGATGTGTTACACACACAGCCCCTGGCACATGTTCTCACAGGAACAGCCACAGAACAGCCACAGAACAGCGGGTCTGCTCCTCCTGGGCTCTGCAGATCCTCCAGCAGGGCTGCTCCAGGTGGAACTTCCCTGAGGAGAGCTTGGGAGGGGAGCTGGGATGTACTGAACAGTTGTTCATGACTTGCTAATGTGTAAATGCTTTTCCAAAGGCACTGGAGAGGTTTTCAGTGGATTTTAGTCTGCTCAGTAATGAGCTTTCCTTACTTGCCTGAGTGGATTCCATGGAAAGTGGATTCCATTCCATATTCCTGTGGAATATCTTGGAGCCATCTGTCCTAAGGCATGGAAGGTGTGGCCAAGGTGGGGAAGGTGGGCTCTGTTCATTGGATATTGTCATACAGATGTGTGGAAAAGCTGCAACACGCTCTGATTTCATTCATGTGCTTGGAGCTGAACTGTGAAACACCCTGAAGGCTATGGCCCCTGGATCCCTGGCAGTGTCCCAGGCCAGGCTGGACACTGGGGCTGGGGACACCCTGGGACAGTGGGAGGTGTCCCTGCCATGGCAGGGCTGGCACTGGGTGTGCTTCAAGGTCCTTCCCACCAAACCATTCCCCTGATTTATACAAAATGTATTTCACTCTTGATTGATATTTTTAATTTGTTCATATTATTTGGGCCATGTCTTTCCAGTGCCAGCCACAGCTCTTTGTGTATGTTTGGGATATTTGGGACCAGCTGCTGTCTGATGGGAGGAGCTGCAGGTCAGCAGCCTCTTGCACTCCTTTGGGGTTTGCTCCCGCCAGACTTGGCTGAGTTCTGTGGGCGTTTGGCCAATGTCCCTCCCAAGGGGACACGGCTCCGTTTGTGCTGCCCTGTGGGTGCTGGCACCTCGGCAGGGTTTGGGTGCCGTGGGAATGAGGCTGCATGGAGGGAATTGTGATCATCAGCGGCTGTGCCAGCCCCTTGGCCCTGGGGAGCACTGCCAGCAGCTGCTGCTGCCACCAGGCGTGTCCCTTGGCCAGCAGATAGATGTGTCCTGGTGACACAGCAGTGACATGGAATGGTGGCAGGAGTGCTGGTTGTGGTGACACAGCAGTGACACGGGGTGGTGACAGGAGTGCTGGCCATTGGGCACAGCTGGGACTGGATGGGCTCGGAGGGCTTTTCCAAATCTGGGGAAAAGGGTGACAAAGCTTAGAAATAAAACCCTGAACAGTTTTTGTTGTGATCAATGCCCTTGGTGTGGGTGAATGTTGTACCTGCAGTTAAGTAACCACTTAGTGGATGATGAGAAAATACATTTATATTCACATTACATTTAATTTCCATTGATGTGGGGAGCTGCTGCTGGTTGGTCCCTGTCTGGGTGTGTCCCACAGCACACCAGGAATTCCTGGATTTCAGGAGATTGGTTAAAGCCCAGCTTGGAGTTGTGGGGGAGCTCATGGGCTGAGCCAGGCTGGGCTCTTCCCCTGAGATCCCCTTGCACTCTCTGTGGTTGTTCTGAGCCTCATCCAGCCTGGCCTTGGACACTGCAGGGCTGGGCAGTTCATGTTTGCCCAGGGCTGCAGAGGAGGGGAACTGGGATAACTGGGAGGATCCTGAGTGCCCTGATTGGTGATTCCTTGGCAGGGACTGTCAGTCCCTGTGATCCTCCTTTGAGCCGAATGGTTCTGTGAAAGTTCATTTAGGGAAAACAATAAAAGCCTTTGGCCCTCAGGTGCCTTTGCTTATTAGTAACTTTCAAAAATGTTTTCCAGGATTGGAATCTTGCAAAGGAATTCACACTGGATGAAAACCATTTCCTGAAGCTGGGTCTATTCCAGGAACTGTAACCCAAATGTTTCTCTGTCCGTGGAGGAGATTTCACATTTGAAGAAACTTCTACCGAAGGTAGGAACATCTCCCTGTCCTTTTGTCTTGGAATG